TGTGCTTTCCTGATCAGGGAGGAAGTGTTGGTTCTCCAGGTGAGGTCATCGGAGATGTGTACTCCCAGGTACCTGAAGCTGGACACCACTTCCACCGCTGTCCCTCCAATGTGTGTGGGGGGGTGTCTCCCCCGTCTGAAGTCGATGATCATCTCCTTGATTACTTCACGTTGATGCAGAGGTTGTTTTCTCCACACCAACCCTCCAGATGTTCCACCTCTGGCCTGTAGTTGGACTCGTCGTTGGCTGTGATGCGTCTGACCACGGCTGTATCATCTGTGAACTTTACAATTAGACAGCTCAGCTATAGTGCCGAGCAGTCGTGTGTTAGCAGGGTGAACAGGAGGGGGCTCAGCACGCAGCCCTGGGGTGAGCCGGTGCTGAGTGTGACTGAGAAGGAGGAGACGCCATGGATCATCACAGACTGCGGCCTATCTGTCAGAAAATCTAGGACCCAGTTGCAGAGGGTCCTGGACTCAGTCCAAGAGTGTTGAGCTTCTGTATCAGGGTCTGCGGTCTGATGGTGTTAAAAGCTAATGTGAAGTCCACAAAGAGCAGGCGTACATAGGAGTCCTTCTCCTCTAAGTGGGTGAGGGTTGTGTGAACTACAGAGGAGATGGCGTCCTCTGTGAATCTGTTGTTCCTGTATGTGTAATGGTGTGGGTCCTCAGTGATGTCGATGGAGTCCTTGATGCGGGCCATGACCAGTCTTTCGAAGCACTTCATGACTATCGGGGTGGGGGCTACCGGCCGATAGTCATTCAGGCCTGTCACTGTGGATGCTTTGGGGATAGGGATGATTGTGGCAGTCTTCAGACAGGTGGGGACTGTCGCCTGTTGGAAGGAGGTATTGAAAATGTCTCTCAGTACCTCCATCAGCTGGTGTGCACAGCCCTTCAGCAGCCGCCCAGGGATGTCGGGACCAGCAGCTTTGCGTGAGTTAATCCTCTGGAGGGTCCTCCTCACATCTGCTGCGGTCACGCTGAGCGGCTCTTTTCCTGGTGGAGGGGTGAGCCTGGTGCTGGGGGGTGTTTAGATCATAGAAGCGGGCGTAGAATCTGTTGAGAGCATCGAGTAGAGAGGGGTCCCTGGGGCATTGTGCATCTCTGATGTTATAATCTGTGATACACTTAACTCCTCTCTACATACTCTGCGGATCGTTGGACGTGAAGTGACCCTGGATCCTCCGTGGGTATGCGGCCTTGGCCCTCTTCACACCGGCATTCAAATCTTTCCTCGCCGTGTGCAGCTCTATCACGGGACCTGAAAGCAGCATCCCTGGCTTTCAGCAGAGACCGGACCTCTGAATTCAGCCAGGGTTTCTGGTTAGGATAATCAGTTACAATTCTGGTTACATCCTCTGCACACTTACCTATGTATCCAAGGACAGCAGATGTGTAGTCCTCCAGGTCCATCTCTCCTTCATGGACAGCTGCCTCCCTAAAGATCTGCCAGTCTGTGCTTTGGAAACAGTCCTGCAGTGTGGGGACAGCATCGCTGGGCTACATGGTGATGGTCCTTTGTGTTTGTGTGCCGCTGAGCAGGGGGCAATAGCCGGGCACCAGCATGATGGAAATATGGTCAGAGAAGCCCAGGTGGGGGTGGGGGACGGCTTTGTATGCGTCTTTCTTGTTAGTGTAAACATGGTCCAGCCTGTTATCTCCCCGTGTCGGTATGTTGACATGCTGGTAGAATTTAGGCAGGGTGTCTGTCAGGTTTACGTGGTTGAAATCCCCCGCAACCACGTAGAACGCCTCCAGGTGCTTGTGCTGGAGCAAACTGATGTTAGTGTGCAGCTCCGTTTGCGCTATGTTATCCCTTAGCGTCCGGCAGGGTGTAAACAGCTATAACAAACACTGCCGTAAATTCACGTGGGAGATAGTGTGGCCGTCATTTAACAGTCATATGCCGTGCAGTGGCTGTTCACCAGAGTGCAGTGTGTACACCAACCTTTATTGATATAGATGCATAGTCCACCCCCAAGAGTTTTCCCTGACTGCTGGTTTGCGGTCCGCTAGGAACAGAAGCCGGCCGTCGATGTGGAAAGCTGGGTCCGGCATATTATCTTTCAGCCAGGTTTCCATCAGGCAAAGCACTACAACTGCAACAGAACAACATGAGGGAGGTCTGGGATGGTGTGAGAACCATCACAGGCCATAAAGCTAAGACCAGCTCAGAGGAGGGGGGAATTCAAATCTTTCCTCGCCGTGTGCAGCTCTATCACGGGACCTGAAAGCAGCATCCCTGGCTTTCAGCAGAGACCGGACCTCTGAATTCAGCCAGGGTTTCTGGTTAGGATAATCAGTTACAATTCTGGTTACATCCTCTGCACACTTACCTATGTATCCAAGGACAGCAGATGTGTAGTCCTCCAGGTCCATCTCTCCTTCATGGACAGCTGCCTCCCTAAAGATCTGCCAGTCTGTGCTTTGGAAACAGTCCTGCAGTGTGGGGACAGCATCGCTGGGCTACATGGTGATGGTCCTTTGTGTTTGTGTGCCGCTGAGCAGGGGGCAATAGCCGGGCACCAGCATGATGGAAATATGGTCAGAGAAGCCCAGGTGGGGGTGGGGGACGGCTTTGTATGCGTCTTTCTTGTTAGTGTAAACATGGTCCAGCCTGTTATCTCCCCGTGTCGGTATGTTGACATGCTGGTAGAATTTAGGCAGGGTGTCTGTCAGGTTTACGTGGTTGAAATCCCCCGCAACCACGTAGAACGCCTCCAGGTGCTTGTGCTGGAGCAAACTGATGTTAGTGTGCAGCTCCGTTTGCGCTATGTTATCCCTTAGCGTCCGGCAGGGTGTAAACAGCTATAACAAACACTGCCGTAAATTCACGTGGGAGATAGTGTGGCCGTCATTTAACAGTCATATGCCGTGCAGTGGCTGTTCACCAGAGTGCAGTGTGTACACCAACCTTTATTGATATAGATGCATAGTCCACCCCCAAGAGTTTTCCCTGACTGCTGGTTTGCGGTCCGCTAGGAACAGAAGCCGGCCGTCGATGTGGAAAGCTGGGTCCGGCATATTATCTTTCAGCCAGGTTTCCATCAGGCAAAGCACTACAACTGCAACAGAACAACATGAGGGAGGTCTGGGATGGTGTGAGAACCATCACAGGCCATAAAGCTAAGACCAGCTCAGAGGAGGGGGGAGTGGAGAAACAGTGGCAAACAGTTTGAATAACTTCTTCAATCGGTTCACTCCACCCCCCTCCACCCACACCCTCATCGCAGCCTCCCCCGCTTCCTCTCTGTAGGGAGTCCAGCAAATATATACTTTGGATGTGACAAAGAATAAAGCTACTTCAGCTCCCCCCTGTTGGGTGGGGCGTTGGGGTCAAAGTGTAACCACCAGTTAGAACTGAAGAAGCCTCTTGGATGAGAGAGAGAGAGGCAAAACGTCTTCTTTGAGAAAATTCACGTCCAGTTGCCTAACAGAACTCTTCAACCTTGGTTCGCCCATGGTTCGTGTTATCTGCGCTCAATTGAGAGAGCCTTCATATGTAGTCGGGCATGAGCGCCACTCAGACTTCACTCAACTCAAGCTTCCGGGATCTAATTGTAATCTGCTTTTGTGAAACCGGAAAGTCAGAGTTGGACCTCTCCAGCTTCCGGAAGCCAGAGCTATGGCATTAACTTTGTGTTTCGTGAGTCTGCTTCAAGAAACAGAGCCCTGACATTAGATATGGACATAAATAAACCAACTTATACAAACAAATTTATATTTCTTTACTAACTTTCTTATTCTTTTGGTGACCTTGTCTCTGTCCTTTTTTAATGTGCGTGCGTGATTTTTTTAAATTATTATTATTAAAGAGGAAGTAAAAGTAAGTTTTTGTTCCAGACACTTAATATGAACCATTATAAATATTTCACACTGGGTCTCCTGATGTGCTGTGGTGTATGTATTGGACCTCAACAGGTACAACTGTTTTCTTCTTCACAAAAGTAAACATTTTAACAATATGAAGTTTAACTCGCTGTGGTTTAAATTAAATGAATTAAACTTTTACAACTTCAGACAACTGGTGGACATACAGTGCTCCAAGTATGTTCTTAAAAGTAAACAGCTTAACAGAAGTGCTTTTAAAATTGTACTGAAAATGTATATGAATTTGTTGAACAAATCCAACTTTAATTCCTAAACATTCATTCATCTATCCATCCATACACTCCTTCCTAACACTCAGCCATCTATCCATGCATGCAATCATTCATCTACCCAGCCAACCCAGTCATCTCACTATCTTAGCCATTTAACCAGTGATTGTATTTAGAAAATGTCTTTCTGGACAGCGGACCAGCTCCTCCTCTCTTAGGCATTTTGCCTATGAGGGCTTTGAAGGAGCCTGAATCAACCGTTGACAACAGTGACGTGCGGTGATGTTCATGGATGCTGAGGCACTGACTTCTCTGGAGTCAGATTTACAATTATAAGAACCTGAAAGAGCATCTTATTCCACTATTCCTCCAACAGCATGCACCTG